CTTGTCACAACCGATGACATCTCTTATTCCAAATCTGCTAGGCATAATGCGGTTCAAACAAATTACCATACTAGCAGAGATGGAACTCATTGACTGTAATTCTCCAGTTTAAGCCATTGGTTCCCGGTTATGAATCTTGTTCCACCTAACTTAACTTCATTAGTATCACTCGCTGTCACAATAGTTGTGACTCATGGTCTGGTACATGAAAGTTCTATCTGAGTTATAACTATTTAAATAATTTATTGCTCTAAATGTAAGATGCTGATATCGGCTAAGACATATTGTCCTAATTATATAGTATTGTGACTGAGACGATTCAACTTCTCAAGACCTTATTTCATGTCAAGTTGAAGCCTCCAGGAGTGGTCCTTTGAGGAAAACACCCGCTTTAGTCTGGGCATCGAAACAGTATCTCAGTTGGCATATGAAGCATGAAACCACAAATCGATGGTTATTTCCAGAAAACTTGTTGCTAGTGCAATATTTAACACGGTTATGATACCACATGTTGCGTCCATGCTTGCCACCTACAACATTCGCACATTAATGCAAATCGGACATTAGATAGACCTCGGCAAAACTCTAAAAACTTCATTGCGGATGTACACTGCGTTTCAGAAACCTGAATGCACGATTCCCTTAAAGTGCTTTGAATAACTTCTTTATTTACAAGCCCAAATAGTATGTTGCATGTTCGCATATCCGAGAACTTAACATCAGCGTCCTACTTAGCTAGTGTTGATGTCGCTGACTGACTGGTTTCAACGTAGAACTTTGCACAGATGTGCAGCAGTTCGAGTCGCCACATTTCAATTAGCACACAAAGCAAGAGAAGAAAGTAAAAAGAGATGCAAAACAGAGACAGTAGAGACATAAGGTAAAAAGAATAGTAATATCGAAGAACAATATATCTGTATTGGATATTGTAAGTCACAAGGAGTGCATGCATCTGCACCATTGAGAACAATTTTGAGCCACCGATTGTCTCCAGCGATTGGTTCTTACCGTCACGAAGACCCCGACCAGGAAGTCTACACCTTCCTACGTGGCTTAAACTAACTGTTGTGGATTTCATTGACTGATGAAGCCATGTTTTGGTTTGACCACCACTGGCTCTTTTCCAACCTGACCCTATGTCAGCTAACATTGTCCATCGAGGAAAGCGATGGCTAAGCATAAGTAATACATGTCCTAACCATTTCAGTCAATGTAACTTCACAACCTCGTCGATTGATTTCCCCTCCTTACCTAGAACTCGACGCCTAACCTCAATATTGCTCACCCTGTTATACTTCACACGGGAGATGGAAGGCAGGCACACATGATCGAAGACAGCTAGCCTTTTCACGTCTTCCACTTTCAATGGTCATTTCTCACGGCCATAAAGGAGGACGGAGCGAACTACTGAGCAGTACACTCACCTTTTGGTCAACAGCCAGCTAGATATCACATCTACGCCAGAGATGGCGTAAACTGGCATATACTAAACGAGCCTTCTGTATCGTGCTGAGATTTCGTCAGCGATCAACCCGCTGGAGCTGGCTGATGCAACTTCCCAGATAGGTGAAGTGGTCAACATGCTCCACCAACCAATTCACTCCCTATTTCTAAGCTAGAAGTCAATGTAGTGCAGTCCTGTAGCATCTTTCATTTGACAGAGGGAACGAATCGCATGCCAAACATTCAAAGATTGCTGCCTGTCAAAGTGTTCAGAAAACTCTGCTGCATTTTGTCAGCGTCTTCACCTAGAAAGGACTATATCATCTGCATATTCTAAGTCAACGAGATTATTCCCTGGTAACAAGTCAATCCCTGAGTAGCTGAAGTCAGCAGTTGGGGTTAAGTCCATTAGTACATCTATGATGGAATTAAATAAAAATGAGGACAGTAGGCATTGCTGACGGACACCACTGGTTGTCATCACTTCAGGTGACAACTCTCCGTAGACTTTCATCTGGCTGACTGCATGAATGTGAGTAGAGTCAGTGCCTTGATCAGTGCAATTTATTTTCTTGGCATTCCCTTCACAGCCAAACATCGCCATAGTACCTCTAGGTCGACAGAATCGAATGCCGTATGTAAGTCAAGAAATATGACGATTGTTGGAAGGGCGGTAATATGGCTGTTCCAGAATCTGTCGAAGGGCGAAGATATGATTAATATACCCTCTTCCTGGTCTAAGACCTGCCTGGTTCTCTTATGTTTGTTCCTCCCGAGCAACACTTAGTCTACGCATGATTATTGAGCCAATTACTTTAGATACCATATTGGTCAAGTTAATTCCCCTGTGATTGTCACAGGAAGACTTGTCTCCCTTCTTATATATTGGGATAATCACTGACTTACACCAGCCCGACAGGACTTCCTCTGATTCTCAGAAGCTGCCTAGTACCTTAATTAACTCACATAGTAAACTGTCTTCACCGTCCTTAAACACCTCCGGAGTCATTCTATCGGGTCCCGCTGCTTTGCCTCGTTTCAGACTAGTGACAGCTTTTGTAACCTCAGTTAGTGACGGAGGGCTGGTGTTTATATCATTCAGGCAGGTGTTGGATGTTGGGTAAGTTGAGAGTGGCTGTAGGCCAATTAAATTGCTGTTCAAAGTGTTCTTTTCAACGTTCCAGTCGTCTATCTTGGGAGCTAATTATGGTACTATTTTTCTCACAGATTGTTTCACTTATCATTTGCCTTTTGCCACCTGTTTCCCTTATAAGCTAAGTAGTTGTCTGGTATTACCAATCACCGATGCCTTTTCCGTCTCCTTCGCTCTTCATACGCATTCTTATCTGTTATCATAATACTGTTCCTCAGTTATTATGCTTCCCTTTTCCTTATATTGTTATTTTATTACTTGTGTGTGGCGCACCAAGTTGATGTTTTAAATAAATAATTTCCATCTGTTGACTTCCATTCACAACTGTTAGAAAGTATATGTTCCTTCATTCAATCACAAAGGTTATCGGGAACAGTGTAGGTGAGAGACATGAAACACAATTCAATCGACGACTACATGATGATTCGCTTGTAGTGTACTTATATCACACACAAGGTGTGACCATTTGAATACTTCTACAATCGTAACGCTTACAACTTTGATTTGTTTATAAAGATTAAGACTTGATGTAATGCAAATCTATTGCCAAATGTCCTCTGTATAATATAACTTATAACCTTCTGCTTATGGTACCCTATAGTGCAAAATAGTTTTTCCATGATACAGTTTAATAATTTTCTACTTTTATGTACCTTCTATGTCTCAAATACTTTTTAAAACAATATAGATTTAGAGCATTTGCCACCACATTTACGGCAAGAATTTGAAATTATGCGTGATCTTGATCAAAAAGTCCAGGATATTATTCGTCAAACGCAACAACGAACAACATACTTATTTGAACATGCAAATGACATGACCAAGGAAGAACGAAAAGCACAAATTGAACAAATACAAATTTTATTTAAAAAAGGCAAAGAAATCAGTAATGATAAAGTGTCCAGGGCTGAAAGTGCATATGAACTGGTAGACAAACAAATACGTCGACTTGATGCTGATATGTTTGAATTCAAGAAAGCACTAGGTAAATGTGTATGGGTGTTAATTACACTAAAATTTCAGCGGAGAAAGAGTCTAAGAAGGTTAAGAAAACACGAGCAAAACAAGCACAAGAACAGCCAAAGTCTCCTAAGTAAGTTTCGAACCTATCACTTTAAAAGTAAAATAGTCAGTGTTATATGTAATTAAAGATTAAAAACCCTGTGGTTTTATCTCACGTGTCAACCTCTTTAGATAATTGGATGGAAGTGTAGTACTTCATTATAAAACAGAAACGACATTCCAATAAAGGAAAAAAGTACCCTGAACTCTCAACCGTGTTATCTTGAGCTCTCGTGAATCAGTTTTAATTAGTCTGCTTGCATCGAAATATGTGGATCACCACTACTCATTTTATAATCTCGTCACACATTAACAGTTCTACAACGACCCTTATAAGTGATTATGTACTACATTTTCATTTCTCCCATTTTTACCGACTATGTTCTACAGTCACGAAGTAAGGTACAGTAAAATTCTGTACAGTAGACCCTCCATGCTGATTTTTGCAACTGGATTTAAAGCAAAATTTATTGTGTTATGTGTATTTCTAATTGATCAACCGTCAAAATCTAAGTAGATACCTAGATTGCTTTTGACTTCTCTCGTCTAGTGATTTGAAAACAAGCATCTAAATTAGATCAGTGTAGCATATGACTACGTGTTACAAGCCCTGTAGAGTTAGGACACACCAGTTATTTATCCCAAAATATAATAGGGTGATATGACTTCGTTTCCATCTTATTGGACCAGATTTCAGTATAAAATTTAATTCCGAAATCATACTACGTCCCTGTGATGGGGGGGGGGGGATCAGAAATATCCTTTCTTGAGTAAACAGAATAGAAAAAAGCACATTAGCTGTAAAAAATCAAGATTCTATTAAGAAAACAGGTAACTGCACAAAACTATTTCTTTTGGCGGCAGAAGCTGGCGCCCTTAAGAATTGCAGTTTAGCATTTTATGTAATCTAATCCCACTGTAAATACATCTCAAGAATAAACTAAAGTAATCATAAATTCTTTCTGGTTTTTTTTTCTAAAATATTCTTCCCTGTTAATTATAGAATCCCAGCTACTGCAGCATTGGCACTTGCATTGACAAACAATCCTAGGGAAGTATTAGATATGCCAGTCGATCCAAACGAGCCAACATATTGTGTATGCCAACAAGTATCCTATGGTGAAATGGTCGCTTGTGATAATCGTGATTGTCCAATCGAATGGTTCCACTTTGACTGTGTTGGATTAGTGAATAAACCGCGTGGACAATGGTTCTGTCCACAGTGTATAGCTCAAGGATTTTCTTCGAATAAAGATGACTGAGAAAAGCATTGTCATCGTCATCATCATCATCAACGTAATTTGAATAGGTTTTCTTTTATTTTCATCGTTTACTTTTTGTACTTTGAAACGCTTAAAAGTTGTATATAGACTTTTACCTTATCTCCCTTACTTCAATTTTGTATGTCACTTCGTGTAAATAGATTCATACTTCATTGTCTACAATTCTTCTAATGTATACTGAATTTTTTTTGTAGAAACAGGCACACTAACTCATCCTGCTTATTTCATCCATTTTCGATACTTGTATTCATAGTGTTACCTACAAATATGTTAACACCAAATAGAAAGACTAAAAGAAGTTCTGGTGTTTATGCTGCCTTTAAATCTCCATTAAAAGTGGTCGGTGAAAATGAGATGTCCACCGATGCCTCCGATGTTCGAAGCAGTAAAATCCCTAAAAATCTAAGTACTGATGTAAGTTATTTTGTCAACATTGTTTTTTGTTGTTCTCCTTTATAAGGTGGTGTTTCTTTTTGTTTTGGAAAAACTAAATAACATGCTAACGGAGTGGTTAAGTGACATTATTTTCACAGAATTATACAATTGCAACTACTCATAACTCCTTATACTAAGAAGTTACGCCATGTTTTATAACTGATCATGGAAATCAGCAAAATAAAATATCCATCTTAGAGATGCTATAATTAATGAAAGTTGTTATAGAAAAAGATGAAAGTGTATAGTGTAAAGTCACTGGAATTCACTTTAGTTGGTTTACCATGTCGACTACTTGTTTAGTTGTATGCTCTAGTTCTATGCTTTACTGGTGAACTTTTGCTTGTTTTCAAGTTGATTTTATTTGTTAGTTGCAGTTGTTCTTTAACTTTCTAAAGGTTATTTACAGGAAATTTCACTATTAAACTGACAGTAGATATTCAGTGGATATTTTGAGATATTGTGAGAACTTTTGGGTACACTAGTTGAGTTCGAGTTGCTTCCGAACATTTGCATAGGATATGTCGTTTTGTAGTTACAAGATGTTCTTAGGCAACATAGATGCACCATGTCACAGAAGAATTAAGAAGAACAATAGGGTTCTTGATATGCAGCATTACTTCGGAGTCTTCCACTTTACCATGGATACAAGTGAAAATTTAGGGAAATTAGTTCACACAGAAAGTCAAACAAGAACTATCAGTGTATTTTTAAACACTCAACAGCAATTATTTGAATAAATAAATAAAATAACCAAGGAGTGATTTACAATTAATGTTAACGTCCATATAGAGCAAACATCTTGGGTTATAGAATCAAAACATCCCTATGAATTTCATGATTTGCATTTTTGTTTATTGAAAGTAGGGAAAAATCAATTTCAGCCGATTTTTGCCCCCTCACTTTTGAATTCGGAATCCAGAAAACCGAGTTCTAACCGTTTCACACTTCAAGGGTAAAATTGATGGTCCGTTGACAGAAACTGAAAACCTTTAAAAAAAATTGTCGTTTATCGATTTTAATAGACCCACTTACATAACAACCACAAAACAGTCCATACCTAATTGACTTAAGGAGGGATTTGTCACGGCACCATCTTCCCGGTGGTAATTCACATCAGGGAGTATTAATGAACATGTAGAGGTCTGGCACTGTAAAATTTATTCGTTATTTTTTGTGTCTGTATTTAAATTAAGTGGTTTGCGTGAATGGGACATTAGCGAATAGTGACTTGATATCAGGTGATGTCATTAGCAATGTTAGATACTTTGACTAATATTACAGAGTTCATTTGAAACTTCTAGACTTGGTCAAGTGCATAAACCGGCTTCGTTTGTTGGCGACTAATGCAAATGATACATTCCTTTCTTAATATCTCTGCTAAGTAGTCAACCACTTGCCTATTGTATAATCTCATTAAATTATTGTTCTGTTAGTGTTGTTAGTATTTAAATGGTAATCTAAACCAGATATTCTGATAGGTATTGAACATCTCTTACTCCTGTTTAACTAAACTGTATGTAGTCAAAACCTTTTCTGTGGAGCGATATTCCTTAATCTGTAATCTAGTTATGTGGTTGCGACACAGTCTTTTTCGATGAAGATCCTAACATTATTCAAAGTCTTTTGTAACGTCTTAAGCAAAATCAAAGTAATCTTGACATATGCTTCGTCGCTCTTGTCAAATGTAACTCCCAGTTTAAAGTTAATATTGACTGTTTGCCTTATTTTGGAAGTTGCATTAGTTTTATTCGCCTGGCTTTTAACAATTTCTATGCATCTATGTGAAAGTCTTGTTTGATATCGGTGAGATATCCCTCTACCTGCCTTCAAGGCTTTCTGAAAAATATCATCCAATAGTGAAATCAAAAAGGAAGGCTAAAATCAATCAGTTCTGTTTAACCTTTCTGTTACTTTTTAAAAATACAATGATCTAATTACATGCTTTCATTCTGCATAGGGTTTCTGTCCATTTAACCTTTAAGCTTTTAATAAATTTGTTAGAGACACTCATTTTCCTGTTCAAACTGTAAATTAAAGAAACTAAGATTATTCTCTGTAGCACTCCTCGTAAATTTTTTTCTTCCATTTATAATCTGCGAAGTGCTGCAGTAGTTAATATTCCCAATACAACTGGTAAGCCTCACATACATTTTCAAAGATAAGTACAGCTGTAAACTCATTGTATAAGTCACCAAATCACTTAATGAGTTCTTTAAATAAAGTCTTGACGCCATTTTATAAAAGGAACTAGGAGTAATTTTCTTTATATAAACAAATAGAAATCACTCTGGATTTCCATGTAGGTAGGTGGCTAGTTATTGACTGGCGGTCGAAGACAAGCTTGATTTTAAAGTGATATATGGTCTAAACTGTCCTGAAATGTTAACTTCAACCTTTTAGATATGTGGTATATCATCGGTCTCGTGAAAGGTCTCAGTAACAGAAGGTGGTTTCTTAATTCTGATGACTCAAATGGTTTGGAATTGCTTCTGACCGTTGATAAACGAGTCAGGTGCCCCCGTCTCACTTCTTCGTTTTAACAAATAGTTTTATGATTTTTGCTCAATTATTGCTTTTCGCTTAATGAGTTCATGAAAACGTGGATTTTATACATAAGATTGTTTTTGTAGCTATAATCAACTGTTTTCTCACCATTTTTATTAGCATAGATCTGTTATAGCACATAGCTGCCATATAAGTCCACATGACACATGCTTATTGACCCCAAAAATTACTAATCTATCTGAAGCATCGTATTAAAATTCTACTTATAGATATCTGTTATGCAGTATGTCAGTAGGAATGACTCCCAGAAATCTGAATAAATTCCACACTATCTGCTGGTTGAAAAGACTCAAGTTAAAGAAATTTATATATTTTAGTGACTGATTGAGAAAGTGGACTTGCAGTTTTCTACTTAATTGTTTGCTTACTGTATAAGAATTCTTAAACAGGAATAAAAACGAAAAGTTTAAGAAAACATCGATTCAGTCTTCTCAATGTTTACCTTCTAATTATTGCCAAAAATAGAAAGTCGTAATTAAAAAGCTTGTAACAGACCTAATGTAATACAAATTGGTGGACCCTGATAAATCCTTCTAAACAACCGCACATCCCTAGTTTCACTGCTAGTCAATAATAAATACAAAATATCATTTTCCTCAGAAAAGTTTGTCAAACACAAGTATTTAAGTGTTACTGTGTAATTCAGCAGCTTGAATTGTACAAATAACCAGAGGATTTTTGTCGTTACATATGATATAATTATCAACTGCTGTTTTTCAATTCTTTCTCTCAGAGTGTTCAGATGTCTGGCTCTGTGTTTGCTTGTCACTCACTCCTCTCTAACCTGGTCTAAGTTTTTATCTTCAGCAGTAAGAAATAACAACAGGACAACCATTCAATGTTACTACTGACTGATAATTGTTACACTATTTGGTTAGTCCTGCCGATTCACTTTGAATTAGTTCTTAGTCGTCTTCCACTGCATGCATCTTTAGAAAGGTGAACTAGAAAGCATTATTCACATGGGAAGATAATACTAAGCTGCTTTGTTTGATTCTATTCAATTTCTTTTCAATACAGTAGTTTTGTTCACTCTTATTATTCTTTTCAGAACAGTCAAACACACCCGAAAAGTACTGAGAGACGCGTTGGTCGACCACAGTGTGAACATGACAAAGAACAACAACAAGAAGAAAAAGAAAATATCTCTAGTTGTAATGTTGGTAATTCCACCGACGTCAATAAGTGTGATGACGATGACAGTGAAATCGAGAAGTGTATTGAAGAATTATTATCAAGGCGACAAAATCAAAGTTGTATTAACCTAGACGCAGAGTTAGCTCAATGCCGCAATCGTCTGCATGCATACAATGAAGCTAAAGATTCATGTATTATACTTTTTGGTTTATTGGCAAATTATCGTGGTTGCCTTGTTCGAGAATTGTATCAGGAATTCGGCATGGATTTAGATGACTAAAGATTATTATTATTATTATAGTTTTGTTGGTTTCTTATCTCCTTAAAAAAGTGAGAAAAATTAATCAAAGACATCTAGCGAACTGAGTAAAACTGTATAATTCTACTTTTGACTTTATTCAAGAAATCCAGAAACCGTGTTGAATATACATATTAACTTTTCTATTTTTCTATTATGCTGTTATTGTGATATTTTCTCCTTATTGTTGCACATATTATTGAACTATTTCACTAAAGAGAAATGAATTTGGATCCAGTTGTTCATTTATGATTAGTATTTTGTAAGATTGTGTTAGTGGTTTTGATTGTTGTACCAGACTTTCTAATTCAACTTATAAAGGGGGGAATTCATAAAACCGGTAAGATGTTTTGTCAGGATTGAAATTACGTAATGTAGGAACATTTATCGTTGAAAATCGGTTAGCTATGAGATACTTATTATAAACTTCATGTTCATCGCACATTCACACTGACTTCGGAATAAGACATGTGTTATAAAGATTCGCGTTTTTCATGATTATTTGTTCGACTTCTAAGTAAACTATAATAATTCCTTTTACCAGTTGATCACGGATTGATATCAGTTAGAGAACCATTGAAAACCAGGGAGTACTGGACAGCTGCTGTTTCATCTATAGAAAATTAATCTGATGCTTGCTAGTGACTTGCTACAGGATGGAGTTTCCTGGAGTTGTAGTGAGAAGTCGTGACCAGTGAGGTCCAATTAAATTTCACGTGTGTGGATGGATGTCCCACCAACGACAATGGTTGGGATCGCGCTAAATCACGAATGGGTAGAAGTTAGAATTCATGAGCCATTGAATCGGGTCCCAGTGGCTGAATGTTATACGAGCTTGCGTTGTAACCGGAAGGTCCTGGGTTCTAATCCCAGTGGGTGCGTACTGCCGACGATTCCCAAGCTAGGATAAACAGCAGCTGTCCATTACTCCCTGGTTTTCAATGGTTCTCTAACTGATATCAATCCGTGATCAACTCGTAGAAACATAACTAACCCTTACAAACCAAACTATAGAAAATATAATAATTCTAATAGAACATGTGTGTAGTCTGTTGTCTAATGGACAAAACTACGGTTGTGTTTGTGAGTAGCAGGATAGCAAATGATATCTTGTCGTTCAGTTCTATGTATTAAGTTGTCGTTCATATGTTTAAGCACTGAAGAATATTAATTGACCAGCGGTTAAGAATTTAATTCAGTTCCGTTCCATTTATCGAAATATATGTGTAGTAAGGTTATATTATATTAGCCTTTAAAAAACAAATGTTGCTCATATTTAAAAATGTATCTTGACTTGAACTCGTTACCATCGTTCAGTTTGTAATTAATTGAAAACATTTATTTCCCGATAGGAATTTAAAACAAGTAACAAAGGTTAGTAAAGCAGGATTTAATGAATTCATCAAATTTCGGTAGAACTCGTCATCTGAATACTCTACATACACGGATGTATATACTTTTGAAGTTACATTGAGAGATATAAGACTGATAAACAAATAAACTACATTGAATTAGTCATGCAGGAAGACAGGTGCGAATGTTTTCCAGGTCATGTTCAAATGGATAAGAGAAGAGGGGTATGAGAGAGTAAAATTAAGATAGAATGCATTACGCTTCAAGGGTTGCAAGCAGAGCAATATCAGTAGTAATAGTTATAATAATAATAATAATGTTGAAGTGAGTTAAGATAATGCTACTGATAAAAGATAGTTTTAAATAAATCAAGAATAATAATAGGGAGATTCAAAGTGACGACCATCTCCTTTTGTACACAGAGACCTGGTTTATAAACTCGAATTGCACAAGCCTCTGCAATTGCAAGCATTTTCCTGTTTCTTTGTCTGCTGACAACAGTGAATGAGTTGACAGTGTCGATATCATGTCGTTAGTCCACAAGATGTTTTGTTATTGAGGTTTTTGGCACTTTGCATTCAGCTATTTTCAACAACTTTGGCAAATGCTCCATCATGCGAGTAGACAATCGCCTTTCTGTACGACCTATGTATTTGCTTCCACAAACACTCATATTGATATACACAGTTTGAAGTGTCGAGGATTGGCGACTGGTCTTTCCCAGATTGTTGAAGCACTCGCTTGGTGGTGTTTAAGGAAAACAAGTTTCGCAGCATCATTTGAAGCCGCTATCTCCGTAGAGATAGCCGAAGTAAAGAAGAAGAAGTTCTCTTGACAGCTTTATCGAGTCTCCGTTTGACTACTTCTTGTATATCATCTCCTTTGGATGGCAAACTAATATAGACAGATTCCATCCTTAGATAAAATATCCTTCAGAGCTTTTATTTCATGCTCAATTGTAGTGTCAGAACAAATTTTCCATGCTCTATTGAACAGTATTCTGACTAAGTTCTTTTTATAGTGGATTGGATCTAGTAGAGATGTACAAATGCTATTCCGATACAATAAAATATAAAGACCGAAACCCGTCAAACCACCAGGGAAGCACCGTGAAATAATGATAACTACTTCAGCTATTAAGTCAAATATAACACGGCTACAAGAGTATATAATAACCCTCCATTATTATCACTGATGAAATGGATTCTACAGATACGAATTTCCAGGGATGATTTCAACAAACATCAGATTTATAAAACGCCAGCACTGAATATCACCACACTCAGTCAATAAGATCATTCTGGACAGTAAAAATATATCCATTCACGTGAAATAAATAATGTCAGGACGAAAAATAAAATTGCATGAACAAATAAGTTTAAAACCCACGAAAGAACACCCTCAATAACGACAATCAAAAATACAAAAAGAAACAAACAGAGTATATAACAAATACATCAAATAAACTAAAAAAAATTTCGAAAAAAATCTCCATGAAACCTTGTCGGCGTCAAAATCACCACTGTTTGTCTGACACTGTGACAGAATCTTCATGACATGTTGGTATTAGATGGTTGGAGGCAATCGGCAGGAAGCCTTGGACCTAGGTTTCGTGCTAGTTGGCACTCATCAGCAAGGCGTATCTGCAACCTTGAAGGAACTGATGTCCCTTCTGGGATTCGAACCCGCGTCACCCGGTGCTGCAGTCGGAACTGTCAGTGTGCGTGCGTGCATGTGCTTTCGTGTATGTGTTTCTGTGTGCATATGTGCATGTGGTAGTGATGGTGAGAGTTCGATTGATCTGGTGCAGTAGTGTCTTCTCTACTGATTGTATTTTTCTCTCTAGAGTATTTTCGACGAGATTCGATATACTACTGATATGCCTTGAATGTTTGAGTGTGGCTTATTATGTGTATGTGGTGGTTGATTGGTGTTTGTTTGTAGTGTACTTGTGTTGAGATGATGGGATGTAATGTGTGTTGATGTTGACTGGGTTGGTTGTATTGATTTTAGTGTAAGATGTGCAAATGTATGAATAATTGATATTTTGTTGTTCGGTGGTCTAAGAGGGATATAGTGGTAGTCAGAGATTGTACTCGCTTCGGCGGTACATATACTAAAATTGGAACGATACAGAGAAGATTAGCATGGCCCCTGCGCAAGGATGACACGCAAAATCGTGAAGCGTTCCATATTTTCTTCACAATCATCCATCCATACACTACAACTCGACACACATAGTCAAATAGGCGAGTTGATTGATCACAGCCGACCGATTGGTCAGTCCGTCGATTGGTTGGCTGTCTGCAGACACCGGATGGCGTGACGTGAATTGAATTCCCGCATGCCCTGGTGAATGCATTCTCTCTGTGCATCTTCGCCTTCAGCAATGCCCATGTAAACTGAGTGACGGAGACCCGTATCATTTGTAGGCCGACATCACCCGACTGAGTGACGCACTGTGATTGTCTCACTGAGTAAAATGACTCATTGGTAGATGATGGAAGGCGATTAGAGCTGTGATTTTGTGAGATAGGTGGATCAGTTGGGTCCTCCCTGTCCCAGCTAGCATTTTCTTCGGGCGCACTGCAGACTTTTCGGGGCAAACATTTTTGGGCGCACTGCCGATCTTGAGTATTCGCCCCGAAGACTGCCCCAATAAGTCTGCAATGCGCCCGAAGTCTGCCCCGAAAAGTCTGCAATGCGCCCGACGTCTGCCCGAAAATTTCTGCAATGCACTGGAAATCGTTGCTAGCTGGGATGGTAGGGATGGTAATATAATCGGCGAATCCTGATTAAATAATAGTCGAAATGGTGAAATATTGGTCAGATAATAGTGAGAATGGGAAAAATTACGTCACATAACCGAAATTCAACCATTTTCTCCTACTATTCGCCATTCCAATTATTCGCCGATTATTCACCTATTTTTACAGCATTTCTGTACGATTGGGTCATTTGCTTGTTGTCATGTCGAACGTGAGATGAGTGGGATCAGCGGTGCAATCATTACATGTGATTTGACTTCTTCTTCTTCTCACGGGAGTTGACGTGAGACGAGAGGAATTGAAGGCGAACAGGTGTGTGTTGAGAGTTGAGAGTGGACGTGACGGGATAGTGGTGGCGACTAGACAGGACTCTTAGAGATCTCGTCTTTGTCAGTTTCCGAGAGAAGTGTTTCCAGTCGGAGGTGTTAGACCTGTCAGTAGTGAATGAGTTGAGCCAGTGCTAACAACCGACAGACGTCGATTGACCGGCAGTATGCTCCTCGCTCCCTCACTCACTCAGTCGGGCGTGCACGCGCCCGTGTCTGTAGGCGTGTGTGTGTGTGTGTGTGTGTGTGTTTGTGCATGTGTACATGTGTGCTGACGAGTGTGGGCGATTGTGTTGACACGCCTTCAGTTGGATGAAAGTGTGGTGATCAGGTGTCTCGCTAATGTCTCTCATCTGTCAACACGCAATGCTCTGTCAGTCTGCCTGTCTTCATATCACAGACATTCTGCACGATTCTCCATGCAACCTTGTCATCGTTGTCGGCGTCAACATCACCACTGTTTGTCTGACACTGTGACAGAATCTTCATGACATGTTGGTATTAGATGGTTGGAGGCAATCGGCAGGAAGCCTTGGACCTAGGTTTCGTGCTAGTTGGCACTCATCAGCAAGGCGTATCTGCAACCTTGAAGGAACTGATGTCCCTTCTGGGATTCGAACCCGCGTCACCCGGTGCTGCAGTCGGAACTGTCAGTGTGCGTGCGTGCATGTGCTTTCGTGTATGTGTTTCTGTGTGCATATGTGCATGTGGTAGTGATGGTGAGAGTTCGATTGATCTGGTGCAGTAGTGTCTTCTCTACTGATTGTATTTTTCTCTCTAGAGTATTTTCGACGAGATTCGATATACTACTGATATGCCTTGAATGTTTGAGTGTGGCTTATTATGTGTATGTGGTGGTTGATTGGTGTTTGTTTGTGTTGTATTTGTGTTGAGATGATGGGATGTAATGTGTGTTGATGTTGACTGGGTTGGTTGTATTGATTTTAGTGTAAGATGTGCAAATGTATGAATAATTGATATTTTGTTGTTCGGTGGTCTAAGAGGGATATAGTGGTAGTCAGAGATTG